GAGCCAATGTGAGCCCTGGTTTAGGGGCTAGTAGCCCTTAAGAAAACAAAGAAAATAACAAAGAAAATAGCCCCTAAAGCCAAAATGTTGGAATGTCCGGACAGACGGACAGACAAGGGTAAATCTAAATGCCCGCCACTAAAGTGGGGGCACAAAAACATAATATGGAGAAATATCTGTCAAACAACAGACATAAATTCACCAGCCTAGTGATTGTTTCCTTGTATCTAGTCACAAAATATACATGTATATTTTTTATGATGACAGTGTACCAGGTCACTATATAAAATATGATATTTTGAAAGCCATTTAATTAAAAAATCTATAGTATGGTTATTTAAGTAGTGTACAAACTGACTTATTGATTAAATAAAAGAAAATGTGTATTTACATTCAAAATTATCTATGCAAAACGACACATGATTGGACCATTCTTCTTTTTAATCGAAAGGTAAAAACCAAAACAATAAAGTGAGTGATTTCTTTATCTCTTGAAGACCAAATTTCTTCCAGCCTTACAAAGAAAAGGTGTTGAAATTAAGACAATATGGTCTCAGCAAGATGGAGCGGCACCACACACTGCAGAACACGTGGTGGAATGGTTGAAAGAAACATTTAAGGCTGTAAGATTTCTTCCTATGGGGATACTTAAAAGACAATGTTTACAATCCAAAACCAGACACCCTTGAGCAGCTTAAGTCAGCCATTTGCCGAGAAATAAAAAAAAATTCACATGCAATGAGTGTTAACATTATTGAAAAAAGACTCAATGATATCGTAGTAGCACAAAACGGACATCAGATTGAACATTTGACATAAATCTTTTTTGGTGAAATTCATTTTTATTTTTTTTATCAAACAGAATGACTTTAATGTTAAATAAACTTTAAATTCTCTAGTTTAAATATGTGTGTTGATATTTAAAATCATGTTATATATGTAAAACAGCCTATGCAATAACATTTGTCGTGCAGGTTATGGAACTTGTTGTATGTGGTTTTTGCTGATTGTTTTTTATGAAAAACATTAAACATTCAAAGAATAAGCTTTTAAAATACTCTCGGTTTGTTAAGTTTTGTTGCAATAGCTGCACTTTATGTTTTATTTATACATACAAGTGCAAAACATTGTCATAATCATGTTTTTATCAACCTATAGGTAATTCAAAAAGAGGGCCATGATGGCCATAAATCGCTCACCTGAGTCAGAAAATTGTTAATTTGGAATTATTTTTTTTTAAGAGGATTTTTGTTTTTGTTTTTACTATATGCATAAATGGAAAATCAGGACTGATAATCTTGATGTCTTGTGTTCGATACCTACTCATGCCACTATCAGTTTTAATAATTTTGTTTATTTGATATTTATATAATTTTTCATGTTCATTCATCTTCTTTCAAGAAAGTTCTTTTCATGTTCATTCTGGAATTTTCATTCTCTAAGTAGTTAAGTATTCTAGATTGTTCATTGATAGTAAATATATATATGAATGTTTGTACTTTGAGGTATGTGTGCTTATTTACACTACTGTGTGATGTTGATATACTGATTGTGTGCTATTGTACTGCTATATATTAGTTTGGATTCTGTTATTCTGTGTGGGAAGTGATTTTTTGGACATATTGTGATATTCTGCTGTGGACATTGGACATGGATTAAATTTGAGTTGTGGACAATTGAATTTGAAGTGTGAGATAAATTTTACTTTCATATTTTTTTTATTATTGAAATAAATGTTTTTCTTTAATCAAAAATTGTAGATTTGTTGCTGCGTTATCTTCTCTGTTACGTTTAACTTGTAACAATATAGATCTACAAATGAAGAAAATCCATGACTCCCTGTGGCGGGCCAATTTTGACCCCAGGGCTTTTATTGAAACAAACCTGAAAGACACTCACTAGAAGATGATTCATGCTTAATATCTAAGCTCTAACTATTTTTTTTTTTTGAAGAAGAAGAATATTTTTTTATTTTACTACATACATAATTTTATAGGGAAAAACAATGATCCCCGGTGCGAGGCCAATTATGACCCCAGGGATTTTATTTGAACAAGCTTGGTAGACACTCACTAGAAGATGTTTCATGCCAAATATCTAAGCTCTAGCTCTTTATGTTTCTTGAAAGAAGATATTTTAAGTACTACATGTACAGTCCGACCCTGGTTATTGGACAACCCTTTATTTGAATACCCGGCATTATCCTTAGAAGATAGGCAGTCCTTTTTTATCTCCATATAAAGCTATATGAATACAAACGTATTATTCCAATTGCAATATCTGAATACCTCCTTTATTTAGAAGTAAAATTTTGTTCCCATTTATACAATTATGAAAGAATTCCACACCTATTATTAATCGAAGCCAGACTAATTGCCGCTAAACCACTCGCTGACTGTAAAAACTTGTTAAAATTTCTAACAACCATGTGTGCATTTAGACAATCTAAAAAATTATGCATACTTTTTAAATTTTCTTTAATTACTGAAAATTTTGAAAATTACTTGCATGCAAGTAATTTCTCTTTCAATTATTGGACAGTTAAAAGTATTCAATTTAATAGTTTTCATGAAAGAGTGAAAGTAAACAATCTCAATTAAGTATTATATAAACAAGCAAACACTACCATGTATTTGTATATGAATAATGAATAATGAAAAAATTATTTTTATATTTTAAATCAGTGCATTTTAAGCACAAGATATCCTAATTGAGAATACATATCTATCTTATCTATGATTAAAATTCTGCACCGTGTCAGATGTTGTTATAGTTAATGCTTGAAGATGACATGATAATTTTCATGTATATGAGGAACAAAATGCAAGTATTTATGTCTTCTTTACCAATAAAATTTAATTTTTTATGCATCTTATGTTGTTTATTTATTTTTCTTGATTGATTTATTGAAACAAAAGTGTGTTGTAAACTGTACTTTTGCTTTGGTTGGCGTTACAGTTGAACAGTTGTCGCCTACCACTATATTTGGATTTCGATTATTCGAACCCATTCATTATTCGAAGTAAATTTTCAGTCCTCAGCAATTCAAATTTTAACATTTTTTTTTACTTTTCTATGACAAGATAGGACATTTTTATGATGGCTGCTTTGTGCCATTCCTGTTTCACCCTGCAACCCCGCCATGCGAAAAGTAGAGAATTAACAAGTTAAAATGGCAGGGGTGCAGAGCGAAAAACAAGGTAATTAGTGGGGCGCAAGGCAAAGTTTAATAAACAAGAGCCGGTTGAACCGGGTGATGCTCCCCGAATAGGTTTTGGACACAGGAAGGTATACCTCTTGTAGTGTCAGAGTTATGTCACAGGCAAAGTTCAAAGTGTAAAAACAACCCAAATGTTGTGCACGACACATTGTCTCAATATGGTGATCATTTCTGTGAAATAGTTGTAAAATCAGACTTCAAATAAGGAAGTTATGGGCTAGACATGATTTTGCTGCAAGGTCATGCTGTGACCTTGACCTTCAAGGTAGCGACCCAAATGTTGCATGTGACACGTCGATTCAATATGGTGATCATCCCTGTGAAATAGTTGTTAAATCCGACTTCAAGGAACGAAGTTACTGGCCGAACGCGATTTTGCTGCAAGGTCATGTGACCTTGACCTTCAAGATAGGGACCCAAATGTTGCGCGCGACACGTCATCTCAATATTGTGATCATTTCTGTAAAATATTTTTAAAATCTAAATTCAAATAACGAAGTTATGGGCCGGACAAGATTTTGCTGCAAGGTCATGCTGTGACCTTGACCTTCAAAATGACCCAAATGTTGGGCGCGACACGTTGTCTTAATATGGTGATCATTTCTGTGAAATAGTTTTAAAATCTGACTTCAAATAACGAAGTTATGGGCCGGACAGGATTTTGCTGCAAGGTCATGCTGTGACCTTGACCTTCAAAGTAGCGACCCAAATGTTGGGCGCGACACGAAGTCTTAATATGGTGATCATTTCTGTGAAATAGTTTTAAAATCCGACTTCAAATAAAGAAGTTATGGACCGGACACGATTTTGATGCAAGGTCATGCTGTGACCTTGACCTTCAAGGTAGTGACCCAAATGTTGCGCGCGACACGTCGTCTCAATATGGTGATCATTTCTGTGAAATAGTTTTAAAATCCGACTTCAAATAAAGAAGTTATGGACCGGACACGATTTTGATGCAAGGTCATGCTGTGACCTTGACCTTCAAGGTAGTGACCCAAATATTGCGCGCGACACGTCGTCTCAATATGGTGATCACTTCTGTGAAATAGTTTTAAAATCCGACTTCAAATAAAGAAGTTATGGACCGGACACGATTTTGATGCAAGGTCATGCTGTGACCTTGACCTTCAAGGTAGCCGGACACGAGTTGGGACGTACGGACGGACGGATTGACGGACGGACGGACAACCCGACGACTATATGCTCCCCCGAAATTTTCGGGGAGCATAATAAAACTTCGCCCTGAGTGAGATTTAAGAAATAAAATGGTGGGCTAATTAACGTGTGTTCGCTCCGTGCCCATGCCATTTTAATTTGTTAATTCTCAACTTTTCGCTTGGCGGGCTCGCAGGGCAAAATACACTAATAAGCAGGGACGCAGGGAGAAGTTTTATTTATTTAACTTTGCCCGCGCCCTGGCTTATAAGTCTGTTTTCTCTCCGAGTCCCTGCTGTTTTATTTATTTAGGGGTGTCACGTTTAGAAAAAACACTCACCATTTAAATGGCGCTCTAAAAACTATGTTAAAGGTTTAACCAACAGTACTAATAAAATCCTTAGATTTTCAACATTTTCTTTGCTTCTTTAAGACAAGATCTGACATTTTGTTCTTATTTTGTGTACTCACTATGATTACAATACATATTCAAACATGGAGTTAGTAACTATTTTCTGCTTGGGTCGTACCGTACTTGATCAGATCGGAAAAAATACATTGAGTACAACTTATATACAAATTGTCATATATTGTTATAAAAAAACTGATTTCACTGTCTACTGAAAAACATGTAATACATGTATTTACCTGTTTTCCATACTGAAGACTTTTTCTAGTGAAGTATTCATGTTTATTTTCTGTTCTGTTGTTATTGTTTCTTCTTCTACTTCAACAGCTGATGTAGTAAACATTCCACTCTCATCTTTATATGCACAGAGAGTGGTCACTCGTGGTTTCTGAAATAAGTACATATGTTTTATTGTAATGAATATTTCCTAGTAAAATTCTAAATTATAACAAAATACCTTGTCATTTACAAATATAATGAAAAAAGTTTCTTAGAGATATCATTTTTCTGTATGGATTGAAGTCAAGACAAAGTTTATTTGCTTCTGTAATAAAAAAATTATTAGTAAACATATTGAAACAAATGTAAATGTCTTAGTGTGCTTTATTTATCTTCTTCTTGGATTTTTTTTGTTTTTTGTTTGTTTTATAAGTGACATTGCTGGTTGCAGTGAGTTCAGCAAATATCTGATTTGACACTAAAGAACCATTATTTGAAATGAAAGTAATCAATAACTTGACCCAGAGTCAATGCTGACAATGTACTGGTTTTCTCTACTCTTTTTAAACACATATGAGTAGTTGTATCATAACTCCATGAACAACTTAAGCAACAAAAAACAAAAACTACAATGTATACTCAAAAGGAGGCAAATACTAAGGTAGAATCATTTATAGAAACAATATGGTACCTACATTAGAAATGAGAGGCTTGGTAAGAACAAGCCGGGCACCAGTCACTTCTTGTTTCAATGTTAACATCATGATGGTTCCCTAATCACTCATTATCAAAATATAGGGATCAGCTACAGTACATTGTACTATAGGAGTACCCATCTCAATTGGAATATGCTGCAGTTGTTGTACTGTAAAATTGTATAAATGAGCATGTATAAACCAATTAAACCAACTATATAATTATAACTTAGCAACACACTAAAACAGCTTATACAAAATTTATTTTAGTTTGACTGTGCAGGAAGTTATAATCTTATACTGTTTAACACATTCGAATCTATACATGGAACCTATCAGTACTGAGCCATGAAGGTAAAGTTTCCTGATGGCTTGCCTCTGACAGGGTTTAAAACCACACATCTTGCAATCCTTAGATTACTATTCTGACATATTAACCACACAGTCATGCCGCCACTTTACAATAATTATTCACCTATTGCATGAATGTTTAAGCTTCTTCTCCTGACAATTATTTTTTAATTTTGTTACCTTTCAAACTTCTTTTTTGAACACTTATGATATAAATGTGTATATGCAAATTTTTAATTTTTTTAATTTTTCAAAGTTTCTTTTTTTTTTGGCGTTTTTGGTTGGGTTTTACATTGCACCAACAGTTTATGTCATATGGAGTCTTTCCAGCTTTACTGATGAATTAGGACCCAAGACCTTAGGTTCCCCTTTGTTCATTAATTCAGACTAACCATGCACCTGAGTAGAACTACCCAAGTTCTGTAAGCTAGATTGATAACTTCCTAACATGAAAGAATTTGTAGATGCTGGCACAGATGAGAGTTGAGGCAAGTGGTTTGAAGTCAACAATGTTCAAACCACTAAGCCACAGACGCCCCAAAAATTATATATTATGACCAATATAAGGTTAGTTGGATAAACCCCATTATTTTTTAACAATAATCAAGAAAGAAACTTCTCCTTACCTCCATCCAGTAATCTGATGCCACCTGAGGACACCTGTAGAATATATCTGCCTTCTCCAACATTACCAGCATATATAGTGGCAGTCTGGGTACTAAATCCACTGTGATCTAATTCTTGAATCTCCTGACCAGTCTGTAAAATCTGTAACATATGTGTAAAAAAAATATTGATACTTTCTTATATCAATTTCTAAAGAGTTCATTTGAATTGTCATAATTAATTGCTTTACTGTTACATGAATTTTTTATAAAATCTTACAAACTGTTTCATTTTGTAATGAAAGATGCAACTGCATCTGAACAATGTTCTCTTCAAACTTGCCACAAATGGCTTAAATATAAAATAAAAATATTAATATATAACCACAACTCTCCTTACACTCAAGCCAAATAAATAAGTCCAAAAGAAGGAAAAAAGAACAGCCTTATTTTGATGAATAATTTGTTACAAACAAACACAAATGTGTTGGATTAGTAATCTAAGGATTGCTCGTCACATCAATTTCGACCAAGTCAAGGGCAAGATGTTGTTTCCTTGAGCAAGAAACTTATTTATTGCTTAGTACTAGCTGGTTCCAGAAACAGATTCAAGAGTGTTTCCATAAGCTTATAGCTTCCGACACAAACTAAACACACAATTAAAATTAATTTGTATAAAACAAACACAACAATGACCACTGATAGCTTATGTATCTATAGTTCTGTTGTATAGGGGTGATAAAGATATGTAAGAAAATGCCCTAAAACCGGTTATTATTATTTACATACCATACTAGAGTCCGGTCGACTTAGTATTAGGAACTTACCATACTAGAGTCCGGTCGACTTAGTATCAAGAAAGCATGACCATCCTGTATCTCTTTCTCATCGTCGTCTTTGTCACCACTTGTCTTTGGTCCTGTCACTGTCCACATGTTCACACAGCTGGGTAACTCAAACGTTGTCACAACTTGTGGTCTAATACTTCTCTGAATACAAAAACAAGAAACTAAGTTTGTGTAATCTTACTTAGACATCAACAAATTTATCAGTTCACTGCTTATAAAAACTATGTGTAAATATCATAGGAGAAAACAATGATATACATGAGTAAAAGGACTTGAATCTTACTAGGCTAATTTATGAGAATGACAACTAAATAGTGACTACCTCTTCAAACAATTTCTCTTCTTTTGTTAGGTTTTAAGTCATATCAACATTGTAAAGATCATATCTCTAGCTTGACTGGTGGAGGAAGACCCGAGGTAGCTGTTAGTGCATTACTTCAGGCACCTGAGTAGAACCACCAACCTTCAGACAGCTAGAAAGATAGGTACCTCAAATGAAAGCTAAAGTCCCTAAAATGATATAAACCAACAAGGGTGAGGGGCAAGTGATTTGAAGGCAGCAACATTAACCATTCTGCCAAATAAGCTGCATCATAAAAAGGTTATTCACCTGTAATACTGACAGAGCTCCATTTTTACCATAACTGGAAGTGGTGACCAGCTCTGAACTGAACTGAACTCCTCAGATAGGAATGCTGGTTCCCCCATAACAATGTTACCACATGGTGATATATTCCATATATTGTCACAAACCTAGATCATTTAAATTGTTGAAATATTTGTAAAATGCAAAAGTGTCAGTGAAAAATTAAAGAATCTGGCATACAATCTACTGGAACTTTTAGATTCTTTTGTAAGTCTATGAAAATTATATACTAGAATATGATAGAATAACTGATCTATGGTACAAGAAAATAAGCTGTATTTTGAAAAGATGACATAGATCCAACTTAAGTCGAGCTTTACACATACTGGTACATATCTAATATCAACAGATATATGACATGAAATTCAAGAAAAAAATATACAAAAAGAAATATATATACATGTTTATCACTGACACTTGAAGCATTCAGTGTGAAAGGAAAAACTGACAGACGGTTACCAACTAGTATGAGCATCTGTCTTACCACCCAGTATGAGCATCTGTCTTTACTCTTACCAACTAGTACGAGCATCTGTCTTAACATCCAGTGTAATCATCTGTTTGTACCACCCAACATAAACGTCTGCCTTAACCATCCAGTATGAGCATCTGTTTGTACTACCAAAAATAAACATTTATTTGTACCAACTAGTATGAGGATCTGCCTTACCGCCCAGTAGGAACATCTGCCTGTACCACCTAGTATAAACATCTGTCTGCACCATCCAGTATAAACACCTGTCTGTACCATTCAGTATAAACATCTGTCTGTACCATCCAGTATAAACATCTGTATGTACCATCCAGTATAAACATCTGCCTGTACCATCCAGTATAAACATCTGTCTGTACCATCCAGTATAAACATCTGTCTGCACCATCCAGTATAAACATCTGTCTGTACCATCCAGTATAAACATCTGTCTGTACCACCCAGTATAAACATCTGTCTGTACCATCCAGTATAAACATCTGTCTGTACCATCCAGTATAAACATCTGTCTGTACCATTCAGTATAAACATCTGTCTGTACCATCCAGTATAAATATCTGCCTGTACCACCCAGTATCTTCCTGTACCATCCAGTATAAACACCTGCCTGTACCATTCAGTATAAACATCTGCCTGCACCATCCAGTATAAACATCTGCCTGTACCACCCAGTATAAACATCTGTCTGTACCATCCAGTATAAACATCTGTCTGTACCACCCAGTATAAACAACTGCCTGTACCATTGAGTTTGAACATCTGCCTGTACCATCCAGTATAAATATCTGCCTGTACCACCCAGTATCTTCCTGTACCATCCAGTATAAATATCTGCCTGTACCACCCAGTATCTTCCTGTACCATCCAGTATAAACACCTGCCTGTACCATTCAGTATAAACATCTGTCTGCACCACCCAGTATAAACATCTGTCTGTACCATCCAGTATAAATACCTATCTGTACAACCCAGTATAAACACCTGCCTGTACCATTCAGTATAAACATCTGCCTGTACCATCCAGTATAAACATCTGCCTGCACCATCCAGTATAAACATCTGCCTGTACCACCCAGTATAAACATCTGTCTGTACCATCCAGTATAAACATCTGTCTGTACCACCCAGTATAAACAACTGCCTGTACCATTGAGTTTGAACATCTGCCTGTACCATCCAGTATAAATATCTGCCTGTACCACCCAGTATCTTCCTGTACCATCCAGTATAAATATCTGCCTGTACCACCCAGTATCTTCCTGTACCATCCAGTATAAACACCAGCCTGTACCATTCAGTATAAACATCTGCCTGCACCATCCAGTATAATCATCTGCCTGTACCATCCGAGTATAAATACCTATCTGTACCACCCAGTATAAACACCTGCCTGTACCATTCAGTATAAACATCTGCCTGTACCACCCAGTATAAACATCTGCCTGTACCACCCAGTATAAACATCTGTCTGTACCAACCTGTATAAACATCTGCCTGTACCATTCAGTATAAACATCTGCCTGCACCATCCAGTATAATCATCTGCCTGTACCACCCAGTATAAACACCTGCCTGTACCATTCAGTATAAACATCTGCCTGCACCATCCAGTATAAACATCTGCCTGTACCACCCAGTATAAACATCTGTCTGTACCATCCAGTATAAACATCTGTCTGTACCACCCAGTATAAACAACTGCCTGTACCATTGAGTTTGAACATCTGCCTGTTCCATTCCAGTATAAATATCTGCCTGTACCACCCAGTATCTTCCTGTACCATCCAGTATATAAACACCTGCCTGTACCATTCAGTATAAACATCTGCCTGTACCCTCCAGTATCTGCCTGTACCATCCAGTATCTACCTGTACCATCCAGTATTGACATCTGCCTCTACCGACCAGTAGAACCATCTGCCTCTACCTACCAAGTAATGACATCTGCCTCTACCGACCAGTATAATCATCTGCCTGTACCAACCAGTATCTGCCTGTACCAACCAGTTTAATCATCTGCCTCTACCGACCAGTATTGACATCTGCCTGTACCAACCAGTTTAATCATCTGCCTGTACCAACCAGTATCTGTACCATTCAGTTTGTACATCATATCATATTATTACAGTCATTGAAGTCTCTGATAGTATGATTATAAAATAAATTGTGGAAAAAGTTTTAAAACTTTATTTCTGTACAAAAATACAGACATATCCTTAACAAAAAGCATGAAGTTAATACATTTATAGTTTTATAGTGAGACAAATAAAAGATGAATATAATACAAGCTCATTACACAGGGGTTTACATTTTCACATTTTTTATGCTATAAATGTGTGCAATGTTGACAAGCATTTCTAAGAACAAGACTGACATTTGAAACATCAAAGGCATTATATAAATTCTACTTCACACAAGTCTTAATAAAACAACTGTAAATCATGTCCAACAACTGGATTATTTTGTCTGAATAAATTGGAATAAATTGAATTGGCAAATTCGCACTTCCATACTGAATCTGCAATTCCACACTTTACAATTACTGCAAAATCATTATTATTTGTGAGGAACTAATTTTCATGGATAGGTAAATCCACAAATTTAAGATCCAATGGAATTTCATTTTGTCTTCTGATTATTTTGCATCACAGTGCATACCTTTTGGAGAAAATAGACAGTCCCCAAATTGAAAAATACACGAAAAAGTTCTTTGTGACAAAACCAGGATATTTCATGCCAAAGAAATTATGTGAATTCACAGTAACATCTTCATAGCCAATCACATATATCTGTGTATCTACTGTTATTGATATATCAAGCTAATAAACAACTTACTAAATGTACATTGATTCAGCATGGAATATATTGATAATGTTTTTCAAATCCGCTTCTGACTGATATTTTTAAAAATAAGCAATCAGGTTTGATCCTCTATCCCAAAAAGAAACACTGAGAGATATTGTCAGCATTAGTACTCTATGCTATCCCCCTTAAAAATCACTTCTGTCTAATGTGTATAAATCAAACATGCAGTTCTATAAAATGTTTAAACAAACTGTCTAAATGCATTTCCTCCCCCCCCCCCCACACACACACTAACCACACCCCTTTCCCAAAAACAACAACATAATGTCCATATTTAGATGATGCAATGGGAGGTTAAGTCAGTCCCACAATTTTAAAACAACTTCCACTCCCTGTGTATAAAATACACATTGAACACTGTGGTAGATATATTATACAGTCAGTTATTTACAGCCCTGTATACATGATTCTACATCATGTCATTGGCAATATAATCATAGTGATCAGAAATGAGCTGTGGATCTGTCAACCTCCATCAAATCTTCAACCAACTGTAACAAAAAGGGGAAATAGTGTAAAATTAGTCATGTATATATTATTATGAAAGTGTATTTCCTACCTATTTTTTTTCAAATACTAACATTTATACTTTAAGTTTATGTTTAATTTGTCAAGACTACTGAAGAACATTAGGTAGAATCAAACTTAACTTGTCAAGTTTTCAATGACAAACATCCACTCTGATTTTAGTTTTTAACTTGGATGATGTAATCAATGATCAAGAACAAATGAATGGTTTTGCCTTGTCTGTGAAAGGTTCATGTATCTGTTTTGATCATACCATAGACAAATACAGAAAAGATAGTTTCTTCCCTTGGCACTTGACTTGAGTTTTCAAGACAGTATTCTAGCTCTTAAAAGATGCTCTTTTTCTACATAAAACTACATAAAACTAAATACATGATTAATTTTAGATATTTAAAGATTGTTGGCTTTTTTTTTAAAAAAATTCAAGTTTTCACACATGTATTTGGTGGTTGCTAACATAGACTCACCTGATCAACACTGGTTCCTATTCGCTTTGCCATTTCAGATTTTTCCAGTACACTTAAATGTAGAAATTTCCAAAGAAGTTCACCATCAAGAACATTTTTGTGGGCATTTGCAAGATCTGCTGAGTTATTTTGTACAGCTCTGAAAAGTTCACACAATAAAAAAATAACTGTCACATAGAATTGTACATATACTAAAACATACCACCAAAGCTTTTTTGAGAAACAACAATAAGTATATCTACATATATTTCAAACAATGTTCAAGTACAATGTTTGAAATGTATATATTAGATTCCATAAATATATAACATTACACTGTAGTAGAAAGCTTGTAATATATAATCAATTCATTCAGTTTATCTTTCACTACTATCTTGAATAATTAAGATGCAATATTAGACAAACTACATAGCTACATCATGTGTTTTACTGATATGGTAATATATAAATGAAGGAATATAATTGTGGTGTTGGTAGTTTATACTCCAGATCACAGCAGTAAGCCGCATTGAATTAACAAGAGCACAGTTCAGCCACCGCATCGTTCCTGGGAATGCTGTCAAACAGTTTATCAGTACTAGTTTCCTCCACTTTCACAAGGAACTGAAACTTCATTACATACCAGACCAGAGGTACAGTGCGAATGACCGTAGAAAGGATTTCATGATCAATCACAACAAAAGAGACCTGCGCCATCCAGGAATCGAACCCGGTCACCCTATTCACAGTTCAACGCTCTACCTATTG